CATGGCGATTCCTTAAAAAGTTGGAATTAGAAATACCATTTGACCCAGCCATTCCATTACTAGGTATATATCCTAAAGAAGTGAGAGCCATAACCAGAACAGAAATATACACATCCATGTTCACTGCAGCACTATTTACAATAGCAAAAAGATGGAAACAACCTAGGTGTCCATCAACTGAGGAACAGATAACCAAACTATGGTACATACACACAACGGAATACTATGCAATCCTAAAGAATAACTTAGAATCTGTAAAACACTGCATAACGTGGATGAACTTGGAGGACATTATGCTGAATGAAATAAGTCAATCACAGAACAACAAATATTATATTAGTCCATTATTGTAAAAGTCAAGGAAAGGTTTAGATATGGAAGGAAATTTTCTTTGTTGGTTACCAGGAGTGGGAGGGGAGGGAACACTGTTAGATAGATAGAGATAAGTATTGATTTGGGTGAAGAAAAGGACAATGTACCAAATGTGAGTGATCAACATGGTGAAATTGAGGAAGAGAAAGACATAAGAGAGGTACATGGGAGGTAGAGACAACAAAGATGAACCCTTTTGCACATATAGTACTGCATTGTCAGTGAAGGCAAACATGAGTATACAGGTGGATAGATGGTTGGACAGGCTGATCTGTCAGGTATGTCTGTGAAGCAGGGAGTGTACCCAAGACCATGTATAGGGTTGGCAGAGAATGGTCCTATAAGTGTACTTGTATGATCTGAATTTCCAGGTGTACAGTAGAGTTGACAAGGGACAAGGTTATAGTCATTTCTTGGTCACAGCCAGCTACCCAGAGGGGTTGAGTAGTTGAACCATAGTTCATACTGTGGCTCAGGACCATAGCCACAGGGGACATGAAGCTCAATTGGCATAACATAATACACAAAACATTGTTCCACTTCCTACTATGGCGAGTAGCTACTGGGATCTTAAAAGCTTGCAATCAGCCATCTAGATGCAATAATGGGTCTTTCCTTGTCCAAAGCAAAGAATAATGAAGAAAACCAAAGATTCATGGAAACAATTAGTCCTAGCAACTTGTACACCATTCGATCCACAGCCTATGTGACTATGAGACCAGAAGAACTAGATGGTGCCCGGCTACCACAGTCAACCACTTGGAGGGAGATGTATGTAGGAGATCCTTGATAGAGAGGGAGAACATTGTGGAACAAAACTCAAAATCATTTTGTAAAAAAAAGAAGGGTGGGACCAGGTTTGCTGGTCTGATAGAGACTGGTGGAACCACTGAGACTATGGCCCCTAGCTGCCCTTCAGGTCTGGAATTGAACCCACACCTGTGGCTTCCAGCCAAAAAAAAGACAGGCATATGAGTTGAACCTGAGGTAGATACACTCCTTGGAGGAAACAATTGTGGGAGAAAGAAGGGCTGTTTATGCACAGGGAGATAGTTCAGGGTGCATGAGTGCATGGAGGGATGGACACAGGAAAGAGGTAACTGGGAGGAAGTGGGAGGGGAGCTGTTGCATTGTGCTAGATTGTAGTCAATGTCATAAGACAAAGTGTATGTAAACTGCTTCATGGAAAATGAATTTGCTCTGTAAATTTTCACCTGAATCACAATTTAAAAAAAAACAACCCACTGCCATCGAATCAATTCTGACACATAGTACACTACAGGATAGAATAGAATTGCCCCATGGAATTTCCAAGGCTATAAATCTTACAGAAGCCAACTGCCTCATCTTTCCCCCACAGAGTGACTGGTGGGTTTGAACCACTGATCTTTTGGTTGGAAACTGAATTCTTTAACCACTGCACCACCATAGCCCCTTATATGCCCTTGGCTGTTGCTGTATTATTTTATTGGCTAGAGAATTCTCATTTTATCTTCATCACTGAGTCTCAGATCCATGACCTTTTTAGCAGTCAGTTTTGGGTAGTAAGCTCCAGGGTTTACACTCACAATGCTGGTGATTTTCAATTTACTAAAGCCTCTCAAGTATGAAAAGTACATTGCTCATAAAACACATGAGACATAACCTCTGCAAGCTAAGATTTAATAGCCCATTACAGAACAAAATGTCCACCGGGACTAGATGATCTGACCTTCTGGAAAATGACCGAGCCACCAACAATAAAATATTTCTTTTTGAATCCCAACAAGTCTCAGAGGATAAAACAACAACAAAACCCAGTTACTATCAAGTCGACTCTGACTCATGGCAACACCATGCATGTCTGAGTAGGACTGTGCTCCCTAGGGTTTTCAATGGCTGATGTTTTGGAAGTAGATCTCCAGGCTTTCCTTTTGAGTCTAACCTCCTGCCTTTCAATTAGCAGCCAAGTACATTAGCCTGTTTTACCACCCAAGGACTGCCAGAACATAAAGGGCAAAACATTTTATAATTATCCTGGTGGTAAAAATACATACAACCAAGCTATTCAACAATTCAACAATTTCTACATGCATAATTCAGGGACATTGATTACCTTCTTCATGTTGTGCAACCCAGAGCATTTTTGATTTCTGATAATTGTTAGAAATTGATGCACTCTATTATTCCAAAAGATGTTGGCAATGGGATTTTTGAGAGTTGGAATGGATTTCTAACCCTTGGAACATCTCTGTCTTGAGTGTGTTCTGATATTCCATTCCAGGACCTAAACCCTTTGATTCCCTATCTCACCCCATCCTTTCCCTGTCCCTATTCATCCCTTCCTCTGTTCATCCATCTATCCAAAAGCACAACCACTGGGCTAGGTCAGTACTGGAGATACTGTGATATTCAAGACACAAGGTTCCTGCCCTCATGGGGAAGACTTCAAACAATAAACAAACAATTAAGCAAAGAATTATAATTCATCTAGGCTCAAGTAGAGAATAATTGTATGTGTGCATAATGGAGATGGGGGACCTAATCTAGATTGTGTGACCAGAGAGACTTCTTTGGGGAGAGGTTGTTTAAGCAGAGACTGAAGGTCACATGAAAATCAGAGTAACAATTGTCTGCAGCCCTGCGGGAAATGATGTGCTTTATATTCATCCCTCCTAGTACAATATAACCTTAGGCCAGTGGCTGACTCCTTCATGTCAGGAGTTGCCATCAGCTGTAGCCAGAGATCTGAAATGAAAAATAAAACTGGTATCTGCTAGTAGTCTCTGGGTGGCACAAATGGTTAGTGCACTTCTCTGCTAATCAAAAGGTTAAAGAGCCCACCAAGAAGTGCCTCTGATGAAAGGCCTGGCAATCTATTTCCTAACAGCCACTGAAAACCCTATGGAACACAATTCTACTCTGACACACACAGAGTCACCGTGAATTGGGGTTAACTAGATGGTAACTGGTTAACTGGTGTCTGGTAGGAATTCCCAGATCCCAGACACAAAATCAAATTAAGCAGAACAAATTTGCCTGTTTCACTCTACTTTTTCCTTACCGTCTTTGGTCTTTGACTCGATTTAACCAACTGCCATCACCCTTGTGGTTGTTTGTGGCTTTGGGCAGGAACTAAGAAATTGTGTATAGATTCCCTCCAAGTTTCACTTTCAGACCTCATCTCCTCATTTCCTTGCCTGTCCCCATTCTGCATTGTTTCCTGTAGAGAAAATACATGCCCAGCTCCTTCTTTAACAAATCCCTCATGTTAATGCTGGATGCAATTCGAGAGTCCAGAATTGGGCTGTCCAATATGGTAGCCACTAGCCACATGTAGCTATTGAACACCTGAAATATGGCTACGGTGAATTAAGGTGTGTTAAATACATTACCAGATTCTGAAGAGTGATAGGGATGAGAAGCCAAAATAGGTGTCTTATGACTAGTGACCTTCAGTGCCAGACATATAACAGATGCTCAATAAATACTGGGCAGGGAGGGGAGGAGACTGGGTTAGGGTTAGGGATGGTAAATGGGGAGTGAAACTAAATGTACACCAAATGTTGAATGCAAAACAAACTCTGCTCTTTAAACTTCCACCTAAAGCACAATTTAAAAATAATAATAATAAAAAGAAATAATATCACAGTGAAAAAAAATGCAAAAGTTGGATGATGAATAAGGAAGACCAAAGAAGAATCAATTTGAATTGTGGTGTTGGTGAAGAATAATGAAAAAAAAAATTAGTTGAAATATTACAAGGCAGGAGTTCTTGAACTTTGGTATGCGTAGATTCCTGGGTTCTTCTCTCAGAAATTCTGATTCAGGAGGTGCCAAGAAATCACATTTTCAACAGCCAAGAAATCTACATTTTCAACAAAAGCCCTAGATGACTCTGATGCAGGTGGTCAGCAGACTATACTTAGAGAATCACTGAAAAAATTTAAAAGAGCACATCCCTACACGTAGGAGGCACTGGGGAATTAAAAAAAAAACTGCAATTCTCCCCAACAGACCATACCTTAGGCATAATTAGATTTCACACAGCACCAGCAATTAAGACTACTTGCTTTTGTGTTTTTAGCAAAAGATGAATATTCTCTGTGTAAGAAAAGATAAGTAAAAATCAATGTATACTTTTCTTTCTAGGGGAAAGAGCAGAATGTGGCACTACAAGGTAAGAGCTGGACAGTCTTCTTTCACCTGGTGGCCTGAGGTGGGGTGTGGGATGAGGTGGCAAGAAAGAAAAGGGGGAAGATGGGAAGACAAACACGGCTGAAGCTCAGAGGAGCTAAGGTCTTCTGGGAGTGGGACAGCTCTTCATGACTGTCCCTACGGGATGGTATGGGTGTGCTGAGAGGGAAGGCAACTTTGCTGTTTTGCTGCTTTGCTTGTTGTAACATTTGATTGGTGAAACCATGCCCTCTCCAGGCTGGCCATGGGGAGAGTGGAGGCTTCAGAGCTGCTGGGGGACAGTGGGTGTTTTCCTTTGGGCTATCCATGGGGAGGGTCCATATATCCCAGAGTGGTGGAGGGCAACCAGCAAAGGCCAGAGAGTGTGGGTGACTGTTGACCTCTCTCCCCATCTGTTATGTGGCTGCTGAGCAAATTGTCCAGTCTAGGCTGGGGGTCCAGCCTAGGGCTCCCAGTAAGAATTGGCCAACGGTTTGGATTGGGCTCCCATTGCACAGGTATGGGCCTACACATGTGCATAGACACCCAATCAGGCACCAATACCCAGACTACCACACCCTGGCTTTGAACCTCATGGGCACTGGGATGGGCCTATGGGAAATCCTTCACTGGGAACGTAACATATGGGCAACCTCTGCTTTATCTCCAGCTTGCTCAACACTACCCTTTGTGCTTTTCCCTCAGCAGACCAGAGCCAATGAACACTTTCCACTTGGCAGCTGAGAGCTGGCGAGTGACTTTCAACGACAGGGCCCTTCCTCTACCTAGGTTGTTCCTGAGAATCCATCCATTTCTGAGTTCCCTACCTTTGCTGAGGCTGCATAAACAATAGCTGCTCCACTGCCCACCATGCATTCAGCCGGTGGCTCAGAGGCCTGCACTCTCCCATCATAAGGCAACTGAGAGCTACTTTTTGCCTTACTCTCTGGGCCCAGTGACCCAAGGAGATCCTTTTCCCACAAATTCTTCCCAGTGGCCCAGAATCCTGGAAAGCTGCTATATTTGGCAAGAGGGGAGATGACTCGTCAACTCTCCTGCTCCTCTAGAAGGAAGTTGGTTGGAAAGAGGCTTGGAAAGTCTCTGAGGTTCTCAGTTTGCTGGGCCCAGGCTGGGGAAGACTGAGCACTCTCCAGAAGTTTTGACTGTGCAGCTGTTCCTTTGGGCCTTAGCAGTTTGGGAACATCAGAATGACTCATAAGGCCAGGTTGAAGCCCTTTCAGCACAAAGGTCAGCAGATGTGCAAAGCCTCTTTCTAAGAAACCTTTAGCAAAAACCTCTTAATTGCCCCTCCCGCCCCACCCCTAGAAAGAGGATGTTATCATAGTCCCAAAACAACAGAAGTCACATTTTGCACCAAAGTCTGCAAACAATGAAACAGATGGCAGACAAATTAAGCTATCCCGTGCTTCCTCCTAATCCCTAGAACTCATGGGGGAGAAGATTGCTCCAGCAGATTACAGGAGAGCAATCTGTGATCAAGCTCTTGGCCCGGGTCTCAGGGCCCTGCCTCAAGGGAAAGTGAAAGGTTTTGGTTTTGTTTAAATAAAAACCTCTGAGGTGTTGACTTCCACACCCTCTTTGACCTAGGGCCTGGGAAAGCCAAGCTAGGATTACCAGACCTCCCACTTACACAATAAACTGCAAACCCAGCCATTTGCACTCTGGTCCTTGGACAAGATCCAAGGAAACTTTGTTAGTAAACAAAAAGCCATCCCTTCCAAAATTATTTGTTACTTGCTGGGGAACTCATAGCCAACTTGGAAGTCGTTTTGAATTTAATCTTAAAGCCTCTTTCAAAATGGCTCTCTGTATCTTCCATCATTTTCTGTGTATGATTGGTGTCATATTGGATGAAGATTTCAACAGGTCCCCTTGAGCCAAGCCCTGATGGCCTTGTGTAGATGGACCAGTTTTTGCATGTTCACTACAACTTGTATTTTTTTTAATTTAAAAAGCTTTTCTTTTTAGGACAGCCCAATTTCCTAATAACCCTGTAATTTAGACTGATCAGATGAGATACTGCACTTGAAAAGTGTATTTATTGTTAATGGCAAAGCAAGATGCAAATGTAAGGTTTGATTATCACTCTTCAAACTAAAGTCTGGTTTCCCTAACCCAGTTTTACTTACCCCTATCCTCTGGATTACAGATGAAATCACTTGAGATTTCTTGCTCAAAGGCAACCAGGTGCATGCACAAGCACAGCCCCAGAGCCTAACTGTTATTGAACTGCAATGTGGTCTCCATTTTTGGACATTGACACTCATGTGGTTATCAACCCTATTGGATTGTCTTGGACACATTTTAATTATCATCCTTTGGGTCACAGAACAATTTTGAGGCCTATTCCTGTGTTGCCAATGTATGTTAATTTTAATCTTGGTTGAAAGGTAGAAAGGGGACATTGGTCTCTGGTTTCTCTTTCTCCCTCTCTGTGGCTTTCTCTGTTCCTGTTTTCCCTGCCTCTCTCTTTCTTTCTTTCCTTTTTGCTCTGCAACTGAGCAGCAGAAGAGATGGAAGGCTTAGGCTGCCCCACTTTCCTTGGCTGAGCTGCCCCCCTGCTCCCCACTTTGTGCCCCACCCAGCACTTCAGTAAGTTTGGATCAAGTTGATGTCATGCAAAGTTGGGATAGCTACGTTTCCTTGTCAGAGCTCCCAGTCTGTGCCCAGAGTACCACACAAAGAAAGGAAGCCCAGTTTGATTCAAACAGTCCTTTGCTTTCTGGATTGGGCACGATAAATGCCCAATTTATATATAAATATAAATGTATCTCCTATTTTCCCTTTATTCTATTTTGTAAACTTTAAGGGGAAAAACCAAACAAACAAACAAACAAAACTCCTAATGATTCTTTTTAAGAAACCCACCTTATGGACATCCTAGATGGTTTTTTTTTTCATATTGGGTGTCTGACACCTGCATTGAGAGTGTCCACTCTTGCTGGCCATAAGCATTTAAAATAGGATTTAATCCTACTGCTGGATGTTTCCATGATAAAATCACTTTCCCAGTTTTACTCTCACATATGGAGGGTAAGTCATATTTTATGTGTACAGCCTTGAGAAAGACTCTTAATCTCTGGTGGGCTCATTTGCCTTATGTATAAAATGGATTGAATGATTCTTGCCTAGCTCACAAGGTTGCTGTGAGGGCATCACTTGATGTGAGATAAAGAAAATATTCAGGAACACTCAAAAACAGAAACCCAAAACACTTTGAAAAGTGGGTGGGGAAGTTTGCTATCCTCAAGTTATTTTTGATCCCAAGACTTAGAACCTGTGGCCTTGTGTCACCTTTTTGGCACTCTCTTTGGCTTTTGCATTTGGGAATTTAAAATAATATCGAGTATAAGAAATGCCACTCTCACATACACAAATTCTCAAAAAAATAAGTAACTTATGAAAAATTAAAAAAAAGAAATGACATGGACTTAGCTAACCAAATTGACATAGATCCAAGATGGGCTCAATAGAATCTCACCTGTTTTTTCTTTTTAAATTTTTTCAGGTTTTTTTTTTTTTTTTTTTAAGTTCTTTATCTATGTGAAACTGAGCCCCTTGGTCTATGCTGTTATTTTGGTTCTGTTTGGGTGGCATGATATTTGAATTTAATTGTGTCTTTGCCCATGCATGTCCTGGAGCTAGCAGCATTTGCTCAGTACTCAAACACCTAGAAGAAGTTGGTTAGCATTACCCTAGAGGGCTGGGCTACTGAACAAGAGCGGTAAGCCCAATAAGCAGAGGCAAGGATGAACCCCATTCTTTATTGGCTGCAAATTCCATACAAATTCTTGCCCATTCATGGAAAGCAATTAAGCAAGTTTTCCTGGTGGGGCATCAGGTCTTTGCTCATCATGTGTGAGCTAATCATGTGTGAGCCAAGCTAGGTCCTCTATTCTTGATCCCCCAGTTTTGAGCCAAGCCATTGGAAAATTAATTGCTTCCTTTGGTTAGAGGCCCTCCTCCTATACTCAGAAAGCCCTGGCAGCATTGAGTCAGGCCAACTTGGGTGGCGAAAGATGAGCAAATAAGCCAACACAGGTATATGCATGGTGAGCAACCCTGGGATCTGGTCCAGTGTTTGTGGTTGTTTCACTGTCCCTAGTGAAGTGTGCTGTGGATTTCTCTCCCTGTGCCCAAGAGTGAAAACACAGGAAATGGATCTTGAAGTAAAGCAAGACACTTTCAACCTGAGCGTGAGTCCTCCACTGCCAGCGGTTAATAGGATGGATGGGTTCTGGCTGGAAATGAAAAAATACTGTCAGGCTCCATAACTGTGGCCTGATGGGAAAACTCCTGAACTTGGAGCCAAGTAGGCTAGAATTTGGGACCTTGGTCTGCCATTGCTTCTTTTTGGACTGGAATTCTGCCTCTATAAAAGAGGACCTCTAGGAATCCAAGTATACAAGGTTGAGGTCACCTTAAATGTGATAATGGGTTTGAAAGCACTTTATATGGAAGCATACTTCATCAAAGAATGGGATTATTATCTTATCCTGGGTCACCCAGGGGACCCAAAGAAGCTGCACCCTCCCTCTTGGCGTCAGTTTCTTCATCTCCAAAATGAGAATAATAATTGTCTGGCCCTTAGATCAATGAAATAAAGATTAGTCAAGTACATTTGAAATGCCAAGAAGTATTAGCAACATCAGTGCCCTGGTACATTTAGAGTTGGGGATGAATTTAAGCCAAAATAATGAAAATGAACCCATCCAATCATCTTTGAAAGTCTCTTGCTTTCTCAGGCTACAGATTACCTATCTCTCCCTTGACTCCCCCTCCATCTGGTCAGCTTTATAGGATGACAATCTCTGATTGGATTTCAATGGTCCCCGGTGATTCAGAATGCATTTGTGTCATATAAGAGTGCTTCTGCTTAACATTCTGGATAAATTAAGATTCCCTTAAACATCCAAAGGCCTTCAGATGGAGCACTGGCCACCAACGTGCTGGGGGTTCAGGGGTTTCCATTTACATTTTGTGTTCTCCTCCAGGTACAGGTTTTAAGAGTGTCTCTCCCAGTTGTATGTTTATGTTGGTTGTTTTCTTGATTTCTTTTGTTCCATTTTCCCCTAGGCCCCCCTGCCTTCCCCCTAAACCACAGAAAATGAGGAGACCTAGGCCTCTCTCAGTGTATAGCCATAAACTCTTTAATGGCAGTATGGAAGCGTTCATTAAGGTACTTGTTGGGAAGCCGTAGAGTCCGCAAACGCACCCAATGTAATGGCAGCCTCTTCACACAAATCCTCCTCCAGTCACAGCACTTGCCTGACCCGGAATTTATAATCCATCTGCCAGGCCCTAGTGCTAACTACTTCCAGGCGGCGACTTCAGTGAGGACTTAATAGTCAGAGCTGCTTCTGACTCTGAGAAGTTACCTATAAGTGCTTTCCTGTGATTCCCAGCCATTGGGGCTGAATAAGATAAGGATGAAAAACCCAAGTGAGGCTGAGATGCCAGGGGTTTGAGACACAAACACAGCTGTTCTAGACAGCCACATCCTACTATTGTGAGGCAGGGTCTTAACATTGGAGGACAGTTAGAGAAAGTTTTTACCTTGCTTCCCTCCCATGTTTTCCAAAGGGGATTGATTAAAAGCAGCACAAAGAAAATCCCTATGGATAGTAATGTGTTTTCATTCAAGTGATATATATATATATATATATATATATATATATAT